CAAGGAATAATTATAAGAGCCAACATTTGATGAATCTTTTATAAAAGCCAAGCTTCTGGTGTAGGTGACTGTTGAAAGTGGTTGGAAGCATGGAAGGACAGAGAAGAGGTAGGAGGCCTACCTTGGCCAGGCAAGAAGTAACTCAGAATCCCAAAGAATTTTTTCTGTTAGCTCTTTGCTTCTGATTCAAGCAGTATAATCCGACCCAGAGAGTCTGTGGGTTGGTGGGGATTTGGGCCTGACTCCAAGACTATGAAGATGTCACCTTGGTTCTGGGCTGACACCCAGACTGATAGGCAATGGAGATTCTGACAAACCTACCATCTGACATGTCTCCTCATCTTGGCTGAGAAGTCTCCCAACGCCCATGGAACTGAGTCCCACCTTGGTCATAATCATAGCTCAGTGATGCCCCCACCTCCATGGAACTTCCTGGAAAGCTCTCCAAGGCCCACTAGTTGCAGAGTGAACCTAATAGGCAGAGTTGGGATTCCAGCAGAGTACACTGGAGTCTCTCCACTTCACCGGTTCCTTAATTGACCTTCGAGTTTGGATTTCAGCCTAAAACATCACTTTAGGGAGCCTTTCCCGAGTGTGCCATGTGCCACCCACCAAGTTTAGGTGTCATTCCTCTCTTGTAAGATCCTGCTCTTCACCTGCACAACATCGCCCGCACCTGCAACCACTTGGTCAAGGTCAGCCTTCCCTGCTAAGGTATAAGAACCATGGAAACAGGGATGGTTTCTGGAGAATTCCCTGCTCTAATTCTAGGACCTAGGGTCCTAAATGGCTGGCAAACAGTATGTACTCAGTAAAAGAGAGTGAACTCAGCTTAGCTTCCAGCTCTGAGCATCTCTATCCGGAGGTGCAAATGGAGAAAAGAAAATAGAAAGAGGAACAGTTCTGATGCACAAAAACAAAAGAGGACCAATCTGAGGAATCAGAGAAAAATACTTTCCTGAGAAACTGGTAGTGCAGGAAGCAGGGAAATTTTTAGGAATTGTTTCATTTGTATTCTCCGCACCTGATATAAGAGCAAGTGATAACTTAAAAAGAACATCTGAGATCAGGAAATTCTACAAAGTGATGAGAAGTACAATTGCTGAGTTGAGAGCAACAAATAGTAGCTTGAAAACTTTTAAAACTGTAAATCAATGAAATACAAAATACGGTCAAGACATTTTCCCAGAAGAAAGAAATATGTTGAAAGTAGAGATTTTTTTAAAGGATTAAATAGATTAAGTTATTATTTGTTAGGAATGTCAATGTAAATAACAAAAAAGGATAGAAGATAAAATGATCTTAACAAGTAATAAAATCTTTGTAAAACTAAAAAAGAAAGAGAGAAAGGAAGGAAGGAAAGAAGGAAGGAGGAGAGGAAGGAAAGAAGGAAGAATGTCTTTCGATTTAAAGGGAAAATTCTACAATTCTACTCAAGAAAGGAAGACCTGTCTGTCCTCAGAATTCTCCTCAGCAGCACAAAGCAAAAAGATTGCATTGCACTGGCCATTGTTGGTGCCCCCTACGCCATGAAAAACGTGTAAGCAATAATATATACAACTTAAAGTACACAAATAATCCTAAGTATACACCTAAATTAATTTTCAAAAAGAAAACACCCATATAATCAGCACCTCATTAAGAACCTGAACCCCTGTCATGCCTGGACAGCTACTCTCTACCCCAAACAGGAACCACTATCCTGACTTCTAACACCATCGGTTAGTTTAGCCTATTTTAGAGCTTTAGATAGATGGACTCATTCATCATTTATGTCTGGCTTCTTTTGTTGAACATTGTGTATTTTGCATGTTGTTGTGGTTTGTTCATTCTCATTACCATATAGTATTCCGTTGTATAAATATACTGCACTTATTCCATTCTACCGCTGGTGGGCATTTCATTGATGAACATTAACTGCCTTTGGATGCACATATGTATGCATTTCTGCTGGGTGCATATTTACAAGTGGAAATGCTGCATCATGGGTAGACATATGTTTACATGTAATGGATACTGCCAAACCAATTTTTAAAGTGATTGTACCAATCTACATTCTTATATGAGGGTTCCAGTTGCTCCACTTCCTTCCAACATTTGGTATGTCTGTCTTTAATTTTAGTCATTCTGGCAAGTGTGTAGTGGTATCACAATGTGGTTTTAATTTGTATTTCTCTGATGACTAATGAAGTTGAGAACCTTTTTATATGCTTATCAGCAATTTGAATATCCTCTTTTTGAAGTGTCCATTCAAATTTTTCACTCATAGTACTCTTTTATCTTAATTACTATTTTTTTTATAACATCTTGATATCTGGTAGTATAAGTCCTTCATTTGTATTTCTTCTTTAAGATTGCTTTAGCTTTCTTGGCCCTTGAATTTCCATATAAATTTTAGAATCAGTTTTTTTCACTCCACAGGGGGAAAAGCTTGCTAGAATTTGTTTGTGATGGCATTTAATCAATAGATTGATTTTGGGATAATCAACATCATTACAATATAAAGTTCTTTCAATCCATGAACATAGTATATCTTTCCATTTTCTTAGGTCTTCTTTAATTTTTTCAATAAAGTATTGTGGGTTTCAGAGTAGAGGTCCTGTATCCCTTTTATTAGATTCATTCCTGGGTGTATGATGGTGGTTTTTTTTTAATGTGGTATTACCACAAAGATAAACAAATAGATCAATGGAGGTTCTAGACTATTCTGGAGTATTAGAAATGTTTTATATCTTAATATAGATGTTTACACAATCGTGTACAATTGTCAAAACTAATTTAAATATACTCTTAATTAATTCATTTCATTCATTTCCCCTATGTTTTTTTGCCACCACAAACAAATATGAAAAAGAAAATTATGTAAAAGATACGGTAGATCATTCAAAATAGAAGAAATCTACTACTAATAAAAATGTAAATGATCATAAAGTACAATAATTGTTGTCAAATTAGAAAATTTTTTCTCTTTTGATGATATTACTAGTATAATAACCATAAGGGCACAAGAAAGCATGGACTTTTATTACTACTAGTGGGAATATAAATTGGTATAACTGTACTGGAGGACAAGTTGGCAAACGACCTAAAAATGTACATATAAGTCACTTCCAGAAGTTTATTTTAAAGAACCTATCATGAATATAGCATTGATTTAGCCATTAGCGTGTTTACTGCAAAATTGTCTAGGATAATAAAATAATGAAATTTACTTAGTAATAGGGAATTAATAAAATAAACTATAATATGTAACAATGAAATAATCAACCACTAGAAATTATGACATAGAAAAGTTATGATATAGAAAAAATATTCTCAATGTAATATTCAGCAAAAGAAAGTAGTCTAAACATTGATCGCTCCAGAAGTTTCTAATTTCCATTTTTAAGTTTATAAATTGAAATACATACTGAGAAAAAAGATGAAAAGGATATGCAACTAAATGTCAGCAGGGACCACTTCTGTGTATTGCAGATATTTTCATTTCTTCCTCTTGTGCCTTCACTTTTTCAAAATGTTTAACGACGCGCACCGATGACTCCGGTACTAATAAAAAATAGTATTTGAAGAAATTACAAGAGGAGAATAGTACTTACAACCATATTCTAATGAGTATGAAACTGAAATTTCACATTTGGAAATCTCTGTGAATAAAGGTATTTTCTTGGCAAGAACGAAATTGACCAAAGAAAAATTATACATTCATATACATAAAAAAGTGCGCCAATGTTGTATTGAAATGGTGGGTGATTTCTTTTCCTTCTGAACATCCATCTTTAGTTTCCCAGCTTCCTCCACTACATATGTATTAATTTATAATTAGGAAAACAAAAAGGAAGCCGCCATAGTTTCCTGTGCTGTTGGACTATTGAACACAGAACCAGAAACAGAAACTCCCTCTCTCCCCAAACAAAAGCTCGGCCCCAGTGCCCACACTCCCTACCAGCCGCCCTTGCGTGGCATTCTCTCACATGCACTCCACAGCAGCCGTGAGGGAGGCATGACTCTCCCGATTTTTACAGGTGAGGACACTGGCCCACACAGGACGGCCACTCTCTCAGAGAGGCCCAGGTCACATCAGGGGGAGAGGAGGGATGCGAACCCAGGTCGGCCCACTCTCAGAGCCAAAGCCCTTCCCTCTACATGAAGACTTTTTACTATCATATCACAGCCACGACCACCAAAACGTCGTTACAAACTCTTACGCCCCAGGCAGCAGGGCCTCCTTCTGGATAAATACAATCTGTTTGGAACGTGTCCGCGTGAGTGAAAATGTTACTGAAATCAAAGCATTTTACCCCACTTTGCTCATTGCTGTTATGGTGCCCGCGATCTTTGTGGGATTTGTTTTTCATTCCCTGCTGTAAGCCAGCCGATGCTTTACAGCGACATTGCAATTGAAGGGAGAGAAACGGTTTTCCTAGAAAAAGCTCAGCAATGTGTTTCATCCTCCTTTCATATGGTTTTTGGGAAATTCTCTCCTCCTGGACCCCCTGTCCCCTGTCCCCAACTTCCACGAAGTGCAGACTTAATACTCTAGCTGCCATTTAAACACCCCCAATTGTTCAAAAAAAATTAAGTTGGCGGTTACCAAGTTTTGAAGCGTGGATTGCGTCCCCGCCAGCTCCACCTGAGACGCCACAAATCATTCCGGTACAGAGGCAGCCAAGTGCCCGCTCCGCAGTCCGGGATCAAGTCCGGGATCAAGTCCGGGATCAAGTCCGGGATCAAGTCCGGGATCAAGTCCGGGATCAAGTCCGGGATCAAGTCCGGGATCAAGTCCGGGATCAAGTCCGGGATCAAGTCCGGGATCAAGTCCGGGATCAAGTCCGGGATCAAGTCCGGGATCAAGTCCGGGATCAAGTCCGGGATCAAGTCCGGGATCAAGTCCGGGATCAAGTCCGGGATCAATTCCGGGACCCTGTTGCCTTGAAGGATGAGGATGGGTTGTAGGGAGAGACGGTCCAGGAACGGAGAGGTCAAGTCCGGGATCAATTCCGGGACCCTGTTGCCTTGAAGGATGAGGATGGGTTGTAGGGAGAGACGGTCCAGGAACGGAGAGGCCGGGCCAGAGCTCTGAGATCAAAACAAACTGCTTACCTTCACCTAGTCCAGTGATGGCGAACCTTTTGAGCTCAGCGTGTCAGCGTTTTGAAAACCCTAACTTAACTCTGGTGCCGTGTCACATATAGAAATTTTTTGATATTTGCAACCATAGTAAAACAAATACTTATATTTTTGATATTTATTTTATATATTTAAATGCCATTTAATAAAGAAAAATCAACCACAAAAATGAGTTCGCGTGTCACCTCTGACACGCGTGTCATAGGTTCGCCATCACTGAGTCCTAGTCACTCCCCAGACACGATGGTTTCCATGGGCACCAGATGCCCCTGGCCCTTGAGCAGCTTACCATCCAGGCCTGGCTTAGGGGAGGCAGATTTTAGGAAGTGAATGTCATTCTGCTTACGCCCATGGATCCTGGGAAAGTGTTGTTTCAAATGGTGCTCCCTGGAGCTCTAGGGATGCCTCAGAGGTGCCCTGGAGGCTGTGAAAGGGAGAGGGGGGAGCGTTGACGACTCTTCACCCCCCACCCCGCCCCACCCCTCACCTCAACCGCAGTAGCTCTGCCAGCTCTGTTTCATGTACTTGGATTCCCTATAGGTTTAATTTTGGCTCAAAGTGGCTTTCAAAAAGTTCGAAAAGAAGCCCTGCCTCACTCATGGATGGTGGGATGGCAAGCGAGGGCTCACTGCTCATCAGAACGTTGGAAGAGTCAACACATTTTCCATCTACAAGTGCCCAGGACCACCCTCCTTGGCCAAACTCCTCTTCTTAATAACGGGAGAAATCGCCGGGCAGAGCCAGGGAAGGCGCAAGCTCAGGGTCGCGGCCATGTCTCAGCAAGTGTCACTGCAGAACCTGGGAAGTTCATGGTGGCTACTCCATCCCACAAAACTCGGCCACGGGATTCCAGTAAGCAAATCACATTTCCAAAACGCATCGATGTAGTTCAGTCCTGTTTCTGTTCAAAACACAGGAATAGCCGAACCGGTTTGGCTCAGTGGATAGAGCGTCGTCCTGCGGACTCAGGGGTCCCAGGTTCGATTCCGGTCAAGGGCATGTACCTTGGTTGCGGGCACATCCCCGCTGGGGGGCGTGCAGGAAGCAGCTGATGGATCTCTCTCATCGATGTTTCTGGCTCTCTATCCCTCTCCCTTCTTCTCTGTAAAAAATCAATAAGATATATTTAAAAAACAACAACACAGGAATAAGTAGGGATAGCAACCTGCCAGCTAATATTATTATTGAATGTTGAAATTAATGCAAGGTCAACAGTTATGATCCACAGTTCTTATGGATGAGGAGACATGATTCTTTTTAAGGGAGATTATTTCCGGTGGATTATACCAATAAATCCAGAGACTAACTTTCCCTTCAGGACTGACTCATTCAGCTAGTTTACATTTACTGGGTGGGCTCACCCACCGGCCCCCTCCACTGACATCACACATGAGATCACTGGTTTTGTAAATTGAGAAGCTGAACCTCTTAGTTTTGCTTTTCTCATTCTTTGGGGTCACATCGATTATCCCAAGCTTTGCATTCTGTGTAACGTGTTGTCTGCAAGTAAGAAGTACCAACTTCACAGAGAGAAGCAAAGAGCCGAGGGAAAGAGAATGAAGTGTCTGTGCTTTGGGGCACGGAGTATCCCAGGTGCCATCTCATGAGGTTGCATAACCCTGTGGCTTCCTACTCCGTCACTCACGTGTGTGCTCAGTGAAATCCACACTGCATTTCAGCTCATTCTCACCACACCACAGCCCCTTAAAGCGGCTCCTGGCCTCACAGGTACGGAAGAGCCAAGAGCTACCGGGGCTCAGAGCTTGCCCTGGTTACAAGGGTCTTCGGTCAAATACATCAGCCACCTGCTGAGCGAGGCACTCCAAGTCCCCGGACAATACAGACCAAGCCCCTACCTTCGGTGACCTCAGTCTGGTGAACAGAGACAGTCAACGTTCAACAGACAAAAATCAACCAAAAACAAGCCAGACAACCACAGACTGTGTCATAAGCTGGGAAGAGAACAAGCCAAGAGAAGCTATGGATGGCAATTAGGATGGGAGAAGCAGGCGTGGTGCTTCCGGTGGGTGATCAGGAAGGCGTCTGGGAGGAGGTGACAATTCAGCTGAACCCGGAGGATGAGAAGCAGCTAGTGAGCCAAGGGCTGGGTGGACCCAGCAGGGGCTGGATTTGCACCAGGCAGTTGCGGAGGCCTCAAACCACCTCCTGTCTAGCCGCTCTGAGAGCCCTACAAGGTTGGCATCTTCCATCATCTCCCCCACCACCACCATACACACACACCCCTACACACACACTGGGGCTCAGAGAGGTTAAGTGATTTGATCATCACCACACAGCCAATAGCAGTGGAGCAAATGTTAATCCAAGAACATCTGGTCCAAACCTCCGCTCTTAGCATGGACCTCGTTTGATTCGACTCATTGATTTATCAGCTATCACCACTGGCAACTCCGTTAACTAGTGAGTTAAGTAGTTAGTTGTCTATTTACACGTTTTTATTCATACTCAGCCTCATTCCAAAGAGGGTTCGAAGCACCTGATTCTCTGTATTTGCCTGGACTGGTGACACAGAAATCCCACGGGGGTGTCTTCTCCAGTGCAGGCTCGGGCTTTTTAAGAAGCTCTCACAGACAAGACGTCCAAGGAGACGCTTAGAAACCTTCTCAGCTCTGTTGGCTGTTCGCCAGGGTGCGATCGTTCGGTCGGCAAAGGTTCTACAGACACCTGGAAGCTCAGGCCTCCCTTTACCAGGCCAAACACCAAGCAAACAGACCAAAACCCTCCCATGTGGTCAGGTGAGGAGCAAAGGCCCCCGGAGAGTAGAGTGGGGGGGGGGGGCGCCGTGAGCTCTGCCCCTCCCCCTGCCTCCCCTGCCATCATTCTGCTCACGGTGTCACCACAGCAGGGCAGCGTCTCTCACCCCACCCAGCCCTGACTTGCGCTGCGCAGCCCCGAAAGCGGGCCAGGGTGGCAGAAAAGGCTCTTTCTAACCCTCTGGCTCGCTTCCCAGCCTGCGGGTTGATGAAACCCATTGCAATGACCTCCCTGAAATGCAGGAAAATGGGTCACTCCCTGATTGCCAAGTCTGCCAAAAATAGGTACGTTACATCATGGCCACACAGGACCTGACTCCCTCAACCAGGTGTGCATTGGGGGGAGTTTCGAAGTAGCTCGCCAGCTGAAAAAAGAGGCTGCCATTCAGGGAGCCCTGATGGGCCCGGAATAACAGCCAGTGAGTGTGCCGGGCGCTGGGCCTACTCTCGGCCCTTCACTCACAGGAACTCAGTCCTCCTCACAGCAGCTCAACCGGGTGGGAGGCGGATGCTACGGGCACCCCTGGTTTACAGGGAAGGAAACCAAGGCCCAGAGAGCGTGCACCACCTGTCTGTGGTCCCAGCCAGAAGGGAGCAGGGCCTGGATTTTAGCCCCGCTGCTCACTCTGCTGGATCTTGTGCAATGAAACAGCTTCTCAAAGGCCTAAGAGAGGGTTTTCATGATGTGACTCAATCAGACCCTCCTATCTAGCTGCCATTATAGACCCACAAGGAAAGATGGACATGGCAGAGACGACCTTGCAGGTGGTTTTCAGATTCCAGTTTCACTCTGGTCACATGCAAAAGCAATAGAGAATAAAGAATTAAAAATAAAGAATAAAAGTGTGTGTGTGTGTGTGTGTGTGTGTGTGTGTGTGTGTGTGTTGGGGGTGGATATGGTAGCAGAGCTTAGAGATGTTAAAAGTCTTCCATGCGGGGGCCTGAATTAGCCTCTTCCCGTGACCTGTCAACCCCCTAGTTCTGATTGCCCGGTCATGTGCAGGACAGCTGGCCTCAGCTCCCCAAACCTCAGGTGACTGCGAGCCAGGTCTACCAGGAGACCGCTCGGGAGACGGCGCTGCACCCTGGGCATTGCCAGGGCCTCTGTGCCCTGGGCTCCCAACTGCCCAACTCTCAAAGGAAACGCCTCCTCCAGGCAGCCCCCTTGATTTGGGGTGGTGATGAGTACGTTCTGGGCTGAAGACAAAGTTTGCTTTTCTGCAGAGAGGCAGTTTCAAGAAATCACATTTCCCAGGTAGAGAGTAACCATCCCTGTAGTGACAGCGTTTTGTCTGTTTTTAGTTCTGCGAGAGAGATTACGGGAGAGACTAAGGCTCCTTCCTCGCCCTCCATCCCTGCCCCAGGCAAACTCACTGTCTCCAGCGGTGGGAGAAAACAAGCCACACAGGTTCCCGGGGACACGCGTGTGAACATCAGCTTCGAGTCCTGGTGAAGAGCCGTGGACGCCTGGGTGCCCATCTCCCCGGGGGGCCTGAGGGGCAGTCTGCTCAGCGCTGCCCGATAGAAATGGAACATGAGTTCATCTTACATTTTCTAATAACCATAGTTTAAAAAAATAAGTAAGTGAAAAGGAACAGGTGAAATGAATTTAATACATTACTTAACCTAATATATCCAAAATGTTATCCCCTCAACATGGAATCAACATGAAAATTATTGAGATGTTTACATCCTTTTTGATATACTAAGTTTCGGTGTATTTCACACTCACAGTTCATCTGAATTTCGACGCAACCACCTTTCAAAGGCTCGGCAGCCGCATGTGGCCGTGGCCACCCTCCAGGACCACAGAGGTCTAGGTCACTGCTCATCTGGATGATCAGGAACCTTCTTCAGCATCCCCCGCCCGCCCCCCAGGAATCAGCCAGCTCCCTGCTCCTCGAGCGAGGTCACTGGCTTCTCCGTGTCACCTGGAGCTCCTGGAAATGCAGACTCTTAGGCCCCACCCAGGACCTATTCAGATCAGGATCTGA